TAAATCCCACTTTGCTTGTAACTAAATTAGATTAGAATGCACCAACGTAATTCAGCATTTAACAGCAGCAGCAGAAATGGAAACTGAAACTTGAGTTTTGTGTGGTTTGGTTTTGACGAAGGAGTAGAATTCTCCTCCGTGTAGCGCTCGAAGCACACGTACCATTAGTCATCTTGCCGCCATTGTTGTGCGTGCGGGAAGTGGAGGTCATTGCAGCAGAGAATTAACACCTTTTTCTTCACACAGCTGTAAAACAGTGCCTGCTGAGCAGCGTCGCTGTTTGAGACTGTTTCTCAACGCTTGTGTTTTCATCTGAAACACCGTCTTCATGTAAACAAAAGGCCAAAGCGAAACCAACTCTATCTTTACTGTTGCAGCGTCTCCGTGTAAACACCACCTTAGTGTTCCTGGTGTTTCTAAGCCTGTTTAAGATCTATAAACACAGCCATAGACAGATTTCTTTCAGATGTAACAAAATCATTTGCAGTTTGTGAAAAAACAAATTAAATATTAATAATTGCAGTATTTGCAATATGCCAATTTACGGCCACTAAAACTTCTATTCGGGAGGGACATAATTTCAGGTTATGTCCCCTTTAATATCAGTATTTAAGATTAAGGGTGTATTCAGACCTGAAAAGTCCTTTGCTCCGCTTGCTTGATCCGAATCAAAAGTGGACCAAACTTTTCTTTTGCTCCGGTTCGTATTCGGACTGTCCTTTTTGCAAGTGAACTTTTTTATATAAACATATTGACACGTGTGACGATCGGCGCTCCTATTGGACAGCAAGAGCTCACGGAGGATAGACGCGGAACTGGCAGAAAACATTGAGGGCTCGTATGTGCAGCAGTCTGCACTGCCCATGTTTGCTCTTTTTAGAGCAAAACCACCTTCAACATCAACAGCAGCAGCAGCAGCTCATATGACACAGGCCAAACACGTTGTTTTAAATATTGGAACAGCGTCGGAGAATGTGTGAGGAGAAAGCCGAAGGAGACTGTCTGTGCGCTCCGTGCCCTGTCCTGTCCCACACATGGATCTATGATAATAACGGCCCTGTTCAGCATTGTGGATAAACCATGGATCTATAATAACCACGGGACAAACAGACGCTGAGGATCAGGTAGGAACCAAAGAACACAATTCACTACATGATAGGGAATATTGCTCTTTGAGACGTGAGTCAAACAGTGTCAGGCTTTTAATAATGCAAATGATTTGAAGATGCTGCCATTAACATTTACTGTGAACAGTTTTAACTCCATAAGCCTGTTGCACAGCGTCTCCTCACTGCTCCAGGTCTGCCCACGGCTCATTGTTGTTGTGTAGCGTTAGCAGCATAGTTAGCAGCATAGTTAGCCGCTGCATGGCTAATTCCTCACAGTTTGTTAAGCCCAAAAAATGCACACGTATCTTGGAGTTGTGTCGGATCGACACCGGATGTATTCAGACCTGATTCGACTTCGACCAGAATTTGTTTGGAAGCGGACCGAGACCACCTAAAAAAGTGGGTCTCGGTTCGGTTCTTTAGTCCGGACCAGGATTCGTTTGTGTGTATTCAGAGCTGCATAAAAGCTTCGGATCAGAGTTCCAAACGAATCCTGGTCCGTTTAAAGTGGAGCAAATGTGCAGGTCTGAATACACCCTAAGATGAAGAGATCCTGTATTTGTCTCACAGCGGGGATATGTCAAGATGGCGCCTCGTACGGTCGACATGGCTCTTTGCTGCTCTCTTTTTCTTTTGTTTTTACTTTTTAACTGTGCATCTGGCTGTTCCTACACCCGTGAGGAACTTATGAACATCCGACCCACCGTTCCCATGGACCTATTGCCTGTTTTCTTGGCATCTGCGGCTGATTTAGTTCATGTTCTAGCCAAAAAAGTGTGGGCCCGTAAAAGGGGAAAGCGAGGAGGCCTGCTCGTGCGTCTTAGGAGGAGAGGAGCGCGCACGGCTCTCCCCGGCATGTTTCTCTCCAACGTACGCTCACTGGGCAATAAGATGGACGAACTCAGCCTGCTCATGAGAAGAAACAAGGACTTCGCCACATCCTGTGTCCTCTGCTTCACTGAGACCTGGCTAAATGAGCGGATCCCGGACTGCGCTCTGGAGCTGCAGGGCTTTGGGCTGTTTCGCGCGGATCGCCATTGTGCGCTCTCAGGGAAGAGCAGAGGCGGAGGGCTCTGTTTCTACGTCAATACAAACTGGTGTAACGATGTGACAGTGATCTCCAAGCACTGCTCTCCTGCTCTGGAATATCTTTTCATTCATTGTAAACCATATTACTCCCCGCGGGAAATTGTTTCTTAGGAATTACCCAAATACAGACAGTTTATCAAATGCCCGACCAGAGAGGAGAACACTCTGGATCACTGTTACACCACCGTGCGCGGAGCTTTTCGCGCTGTTCCCAAGCCAGCCCTCGGCTTCTCAGATCACTCCATGATACATCTGGTTCCTGCTTACAGACAGAGACTAAAGCTCTCGAAACCTGCAGTGAGGAGCTCCAAAGTGTGGTCTGATGAAGCTGTGGAAGAGCTACGCGCATGCATGGAATCTACAGACTGGGACCTTTTCAGAGCTGCCACAGACAGCTTGGATGAATATACGGACACTGTGACGTCATACATCCACTTCTGTGAGGATAGCATCATTCCAACAAGGACCAGGGTCATCTATAACAACGACAAACCCTGGTTCACTGCTAAACTCCGGCAGCTCAGGAAAGCAAAGGAGTCTGCTTTCAGGGAGGGGGACCGCAGCGGCTACAAAGCAGCTAAATATCAGTTCAGGAAAGAACTGAAAGCAGCCAAGTCCCGGCACAGAGAACGACTACAGGAGCAGTTTGGTAACAACGATACTGCTTCTGTCTGGAGGGGCCTACGGGAGATCACCAACTACAAACCCAAAGCCCCCCCCTGTGCTGATGACCACAAGCTAGCTGACGATCTGAACTTATTTTTCAGTCGCTTTGATGCTGCCCCTGACACCTCTCCCTCCCCCACCCCCCACTACTCTAACGACCCACCCATCAGCCCTGCCCCCAGCCTAACAATAGCCGCTAAAGAGATTAAACAACTCTTCCTGAGGCTGCACCCCCGCAAAGCTCCTGGCCCGGACCACGTGTCTCCGGCCACTCTGAGACACTGCGCCAGTGAGCTTACTCCTGTGTTCACGGACATTTTCAACTCCTCTCTGCAGTCCTGCCATGTCCCGGCCTGCTTCAAATCCTCCATCATTGTCCCCGTCCCGAAGAAGCCCAGGATCACAGGACTCAATGACTACAGACCTGTAGCACTTACGTCTGTCGTCATGAAGTCATTTGAACGCCTGGTTCTCTCCCATCTCAAGTCCCTCACCTCCCCCCTCCTGGACCCCCTGCAGTTCGCCTACAGAGCCAACAGATCTGTAGACGACGCCATTAACCTGGCCCTCCACCACATCCTACAGCACCTGGACTCCCCGGGGACCTACGCCAGGGTCCTGTTCGTGGACTTCAGCTCTGCCTTCAACACAATCCTGCCATCCCTGCTCCAGGACAAGCTCTCCCAGCTCAACGTGCCCGATTCCACCTGCAGGTGGATCACTGACTTCCTGACGGACAGGAAGCAGCGAGTGCGTCTGGGGAAGAATGTCTCGGACTCTCGGATTATAAATACAGGAGCCCCACAGGGCTGTGTTCTTTCTCCCCTGCTCTTCTCCCTGTACACCAACCACTGCACCTCCAGCCACGACTCCGTGAAGCTGATCAAGTTCGCGGACGACACCACCCTCATTGGACTCATCTCCAACAACGATGAGTCCACCTACAGGAGGGAGGTGGACCGGCTGGTGTCCTGGTGCAGTGGTAACAACCTGGAGCTGAACGCCCAGAAGACAGTGGAGATGATTGTGGACTTCAGGAAGAGCACCTGTCCCCCCGCCCCCACCCTCCGTGATGGACTCCCCCATCACCTCTGTGGAGTCCTTCCGTTTCCTGGGCACCACCATCACCCAGGACCTCAAGTGGGAGCCGACCATCAGCTCCCTCATCAAGAAGGCCCAGCAGAGGATGTACTTCCTGCGGCAGCTCAGGAAAGCCAAGCTGCCTGCACAGATGTTGGTGCAGTTCTACACGGCCATCATCGAGTCCATCCTCACCTCCTCCATCACCGTGTGGTTCGCTGGAGCCACAGTCAGGGACAAACAGAGACTACAGCGCATTGTGCGCTCTGCAGAGGAAGTGATCGGCCGCAGCCTTCCATCGCTGCAGGACCTGTACGTCGCCCGAGCTCGAGGCCGGGCTGGTCGTATCACAGCCGACCCCTCTCACCCTGCACATGGACTATTCCAACCACTCCCCTCAGGCAGGAGGCTGCGGTCCATCAGGACTAGAACCTCCCGCCACAAGAACAGTTTCTTCCCCTCTGCTGTTGGACTCTTGAACACTTCTTAACCTGTCCCCCCGCCCTTTATAAAGTCACTTTACTGCCCATCATACGTCACTTTACTTCACTGTACTGCTGTCACCTTACATTGTGTGCACCATGTGCACTTGTATATTGTAAATAGTAACTGTAACTCTATTTTAAATTTAAATTTATTCTTTAGAAGTGTTTTTTATTCTTATTTTTATTATCTCTTTTTGACTGTTGCACTGAGCCAAAGCAATTTCCAAGTCTGTGACCTCCCGTTACTTACGTTGGCAATAAAAATGATTCTGATTCTGATTCTGATTCTGATTCTGATTCTGATTGTATCAGCAGTTTCCGAACAGTAGGAATGAGGAGCACACAGCACAAGATAAACGAATAATAGCTCCATACTAAAAACAAAATAAGCAAAATAAGGACGCTAAAATCTCCAACTTTAGAATAATATAGAAGCAAGTATAAAAGTGTCTATTCTAATGACAATGTATAACAATCATATAGTTGTATGCATACATCCGTACATGGATAACACAGGCATTGATCCTTGGGGAGGTCTGGAGGTTTTGGATCAGACATCTCTGGGTCTCACCTGGGAGAAAAGGAGGTACCCGTAGTCGTCGCAGGGCAGCATGTCGTCCACCAGCACCGTGGTCCAGGTGCCGTCCTTACACAGCCGCACCTGGTACGCCCCCTCTGGACAGATCCCGCGCGTGATCATCACCCTCTCCACCAGCTCCGGTCGCTCCGCCAGCACGGCCAGAGCGCTGAGGAACCTGCGGGGGCCACGAGAGCATCACACAATCGTTATAATAAACAGCAAAGGTCATCCCACCAAACCAGCGCCCAGAGGAAATTTACAAGCACATCATTCTTTAACAACCTCCATTAAAATACCCTGACTTTTATATTCAATCATTCTCAACCCAATTCAAAGGCTTATTAAATACTGGCCTGTCCGCTAATAAGATTTCTCCTCTTTAGCGAGATTAGAATTGTTTTAAATCACTATCGGTTGTTGGAAATCCCACGTAGAAGGGAGTGATAATGAATAAGAAGCAGCCAAAGTTTTGCGGCAGAGAAATGTTTTATGGAAGTTTAGAGAATGGAGGAGGGCTTACGTAATTCTCGTTTAAACCATGTCTTATTAAAGCAGGGGTACCTCACTTTTAAACCACAAAAATTAAACAAAGTATAGCAATCCATTTCATTACAGTTTGGATCTATAACTAGTTACATACATGTGTTTTTGGCCTGTGGCTGAATGAATACGTGTATACAGGGCTCTCATGAGACAAAGACAGCCTGTTGTGGTCTGATTTGTTCATAAAGATATACTTTTACAAGCGTCTTTCTGATAAAACAGACAAAATAATTAGGAAAGATTGCAAGTTCGCATCATCTTAAACAAAGCAAGCAGCAGTATACTTTCAATATCTATATACAGCAAAAGGAACATGTTTGAAATAGAGATGCTATTTCTCTTCTGTTGGCTTTCAATCAATAACAAAAAGGAAGAGTTTTGCAGCCATATTGGTGATTCTGCTTTGCCTTAAAAGGTATATAGTAGGGCTTTCTACTTTTGGGTGAATCATCAAGAATATTGGTCCCAATTGTCAATCATTCTGGTGATGCGTGCTCATCAAATAAGACCAGAGAGTTTTGTTCAAAAAGTGGAAAAGGAGGTTCTTTCCTAAAATGTGGGAAAATCCTCTTATACACCTTTAATTCAGGGAGTGTGGCAATAATATAGGCATTAAAGCATGTATATATAATTTGATTTGTGTTCTAAACTTAAACGTTATTATGAATATTTGATGGATACGTATTAGATTCTGTGGCTCCGGACGCGGGCGGCAGCAGTGAGGGTCGTCTCTGTCCTCTGTCTCAATTCTTTTATTTCAAGTTTGGTTCAAGTTTCAGATAAAATCAAAAAATGAAATGCTAGCAAAAAACTTCTACAAAAGAACAATAGCAGACTCAGAAACAATGTCTTTACTAAACCTTTCTTCGACGTTTTTCAGAGCCACGGCGGTTAATGTTTATTGTCCACTGTCCCTGTCACTTTGAATCAGTGTTCCCCAACCTTTTAAAGCTGTGGCACACCTTTTCCATTAAAAACAATCATTTGGTTCACCACCAGCTAAAAAGTACACAAAGATGAAACTCTGCACTCTTTTTAAACACCAAAACTCATCAAGTATATACTAATAGAAGCACACAAAAGTAACTAATCATCTCACATTACTTTCTTTTCACTTTATTTTGACCCAATCGCGTGAATTGGACCATTTCCAAAGGCCCACCATACAACATCTCAAAGCACACCAACGCTCCACGACCCACTGGTTGAAAAACACTGCTTATATTGAAAAAACTATACAAAAACAAAATTTTAGTCATGGAAACGGCGTCTTTGAAGAAGCCCCGCCGCCACGTTTAACTGAGCACACATTTCCGCTCCTTCGTCTGTGTTGACAATAAGAGCCAGAGTGAATTACAGCCGCAGCTGATTGTGAGTGGCGTGTGCGGCTCTGCGGACTTCAGAACAAATAAATCGTGACGCCTTGAATTGAGGCAGGTAGAACCAACCGCGGCTGACAGAAGCAATCAGCGCCGGAGAGAGAGAGAGAGAGAACGACAAGGGGCCGTCAAACCACAAATAAGGAATCAAACATGTACGTTCCCCGCGCTCTGCATACCCCCTCCAAAGCCGGGGATAACCGAAACGCCCGCTCTGTGAAAATCAATCACTTTTGATAAGGCGTCTTTTCTCTCGGCTTCTTTTTTTTTGCTGATAATTTGCCGGTAGCAGAAAAACCCGCTCGCCTTTTAATTAGTTAATCAACAATTCAAAAATGGGAAGTTAAATGTCTTGGGTAATAAATGAGTCGCGGCGAAGGAACGCACATAGTATTAAGTGTAAGTATAATTGGCTCGACAGGAGTTCTAGTGTTGTCGGCAACAGAGAAAAGAGAATTAATACATTATATTTAGTCTACGTTCAAATTATTGTTATAATAATTATAATAATAATAATAATAATAATAATAATAATACATTTTATTCAAGAGCAGGGGTGTCCAAACTCAGGCCCGGGGACCAATTGCGGCCCTCAGTGTCATTTTATGTGGCCCTCTGCCTTGCTAACCCAACGTAGTCTTTGAGCTCATAAACACAAGTTTGCTGTGTCATCCATCCCACTTCAGCACAGCCCATATAGCCATGTCTTAACTCGTTCTAAAGCCCAGTACGTCTGGAGTTCAGTCGATGACTTTTTTTGGACATATTTTACATGGTTTTTCATTGTGTCACAAACTTCCCTTAATGGTGCTACTGTAGTGGGTGAGATGTTAAACATGTGTCATTCAGCCAACTTCAGCTCTGTTATAGATCATTTTATAGCTCAGAATAGCCCGATGCCAGTCAAGATAGTTTTTCAGTTTGTGATGTTGGCCCTTGGACGAGAGTAAACTGTCTAGTCAATAACAGTTTAAGTAAACTCATATATGTCAATGGAGTATGTTATTGTGTTATTATCATATTAATAAATGTAACGTTTAGTCTAGTGTGGATCTAAAAACTAGTAGTATTGATCCAGGCAGAGGGCAAGAATGTGCGGAGTCAAACCCCCAGCTATTATACACAGGAAGTTAAATTAAGAGGACCAGAAAACATCTGTTATAGCCTCAGGCTTACTTTGAGAGGGGCTACTGTGTGTTTTGGAGAAAGGAGCTATTGTGTTCACCTAAGGATGGTGAGACATGTGTTTTCAATTATCATGTCATGTGACTGTGTGCTTACATCGATAGCCTGTTCCTGAAACAGTGTCTTTTGCTTTTGGGTGTGCCAGGGAGAGGACCCGGACTGATCAACCAGTCTGACACTAGCCTGTAATCTGTAATTCTGTCTTTTATATATTAAACCTTTTTCATATATCTAAGCAGAATTTGTGGTCCATTTTTCATCGAAGGAGAAACCGTGGCTGAACCAGCGTTAAACATATTTTGGTCCTTCTTGAGCCGGATGTCAAAACATCATTTTTTGGAGCTGACCGTCGTCCTACTGAAGAGCTGAAACAGCAGCGTGGCTTGGAGGTTGCAGGTCGAAAAACAACTGCAGCAACAGTCTCTCTGTGTGGGGTTTGATCAGCTTCGAATTTCGGATTGAAGACACAAAAGCCACGGACATCGCGATAACAGGCAAGTGTGAATTTACTTTTGAAGTCAATTTACTTTTGACTCAAAAAAGAGGCCGGGGATAACGAGGTTTATCCTTTTTAATAGTCGAGGAGCTATTTCTTAGGCCTGGGATAACGAGGTTTATTCTTCTAATAGTCAGAGAGCTATTAAAGACAGTCAGAGGGGGAGCCCGGAATAACAACAGGTTATTCTTTTAGATAGTCTGGAACTATCATAGACTGTAATAATAACGGGGTTATTATTTAGAGTAAGTCGGGGACTACTTTTTACTGCAGTTAAAAGTGAACGGGGTTCATTTTGAATTAAAGACGTCTGTGTGAATGTGTGTGTGAACGGAGATCAATCTATACTCGAAGCACCGGACAACCAGAAACCTTGCGGTGATAACGAAAAGTTGTCGGCTTGGTGAAGTAGAGAAAGGATTGCATCTCATTATGTTTTAAGTAATCGTGAAAGTGGTCTAAAACAATTACATTCCTTGTGATTAAACACCCAGGAGAAACCGGATGAAACATTAAGTTTTATCTAGAAGCTTGTTTCTCGAGGAAGTAATTTGGCCCATGAGGCATTCCACTAAGATCGTTCACAAATGTGTAATTAATATCCACTGTTGTATAAGCAATAGTTATTAAATAGAAGTTGAAGAAGATATCTAAGTAATTTACTAAAGAGTAAATATGGGTTCATCTTGTACTAAAACTGTGGATCTGAAAGGGGATCCTAAGTTTATGCAGAGAAAAAATCCTGAATCAGTTAAGTATTTAAAAAACTGGAAGAAGAAGTATGGGTTTGAAGGTAAACTAACACTGAAAGAGTGTGAAACACTGGTGATGAAAGTTAGTTTAGGACTTAAATCCAAAAAGTTGCCATCAGAAAAACAATTGCATGAGCAGAAAATGGCAGAGCTGTGGTTAGTTGCAGCAAAGTGTAGGAATAAGCAAATTAAAGAGAAGAAGAGTGAAACCAGCCTAGTTGCCTTTACAACAGAAGAAGACAATTTGGTCCAGGCAGGGAGGCGCCATGTGCAGCAGCAGCAGCAGCAGCAGCACCATGTGCACCAGCAGCAGCAGCAGCAGCAGCAGCACCATGTGCACCAGCAGCAGCAGCAGCAGCAGCAGCAGCAGCAGCAGCACCATGTGCAGCAGCAGCAGCAGCAGCAGCAGCAGCAGCAGCAGCACCATGTGCAGCAGCAGCAGCAGCAACAGCAGGCTGTAGTACAGGCTCATAAATACACAGCGGCACCACCTCAATATACTCCACTGCAACAGACAACAAATCTATTCTCAGATAATTCTGTAAAACTGCAGGATAGTTTGTATCCACATGCAGAGCTTGAAGCAGCAGCGCAGTCACAAGTCTGTGACGTACAAACACCTGTTGCTACTAGATCACGGCTTCCAATGAACGCGTCTTGGAGCAAAAGTTTTGGAAACCTTTTCAGTCCAAGGGTTGACTTCTCAGAGAGAGGAGCAGATGCATTCCCAATGATAGAAGTCCCAAATCCCACTCATGATCCACAAGTGGTTGGAAGTTTGCCTACTATGTATGTCTTTCGTACTTGGACGAAAGCAGAC